AGTTCATTTAAGGGCAAGTGCAAAGGCCTGCACTTAGGACAGAACGATCACCGATACAGGCTGGGGGTGACCGGCTGGGCAGCAGCTCTGCAGAAGAGGACCTGGGGGTGACAGTAGACAATAAGCTGAACGTGAGCCAGCGGTGTGCCCTTGTTGCCAAGAAGGCTAACGGCATACTGGGCTGCATTGGTAGAGGTGTTGCCAGTAGGTCAAGGGAAGTGATTATTCCTCTCTATTCAGCACTGGTGAGGCCACATCTGGAGAACTGCGTTCAGTTTTGGGGCCCCCACTACAGAAAGGATGTGGACAAATTGGAGAGAGTCTAGCAGAGGGCAACAAAAATGGTTTGGGGGCTGGGAGACATGACTTGTGAGGAAAGACTAAATAAGACCAGTTTCCTTAGTCTGAGTCCCTTCTCAGTCTTCTCTTCTCTAATTAGCAGCCTTTAATTCCCTGAAGTGGAGTTTGAAAGAAGATGGACTTGGACTGCTCTCAGTGGGGGCAGATGACAGAACGAGGCGCAATGGTCTCAAGTTGCAGCAAGGGAAGTTTAGGTTAGATATTAGGAAGAATTTTCTCCCAAGGAGGGTAGTAAAACACTGGAACAGGTTACCTAGAGGTGGTGGAAGTTCCATCCTTGGAGGTTTTCAAAACCTAGCTAGACAAAGCTTTCGCTGAGATGATCTAGGTGGGGCTGGTCCTGCTTTGAGCAGGGCGTTGGACTAGATGTGACCTCCCTGAGGCCACTTCCAACCCTCCCTTTCTATGATTCTGTGCATGGGTGGGGGATGTGGCAGTCTTCCTGGCCAGTGCCTGTGTTTGTAGATTCAAATCCTCTTTATTTAAAGCAAAACAGCAACTGCTCCATATTGAGTAGCTTGCCATGCTCAGCCAAGAGGCACTGAGCTGCACTGTCCTAAATATACAACACAGTATAAGCCCTGTGAACTCCATACAGCGTGATCTACATGGTATTTTTCCCCCAAGCGTCTGAACGTCCCTGTGAGTGTAGAAATGAGACTCCATGATTTCCTTGTATTTTGGATTGTTAGACACTTTTTAGAGAAGTTAAACAGCAGACTGGCTGACACTTCACTTTCTGTCCTGTCACCAGGAGTTGAAGCCTAATTTGGCTTGCTTTCCTCCTTCGCCTGAGTAGGAGTGAAATGTGAAATATTTAAATTTGAATGAAATGGCCGGGAAAAATCTCCCTCTTCCTGTCAACCTGTACTCCAAGAAGGTGGGCCAGTTGGTGGAAAGTATGGGAAGGTGCTCAGACAATAGGAACTCTTTTCTCTCCCATTTTGATATCGCTGCTGGGATTTTAACTGTTCGCAACAACTGAATACCAGGGAGATGGTGCATCTTGCTTGTAAAGCCTTTGAGGTGCAGCGTGTGAAATGCATATTGGTTAGGAGTCCAGTCAGGTAAGCATGAGCACTGGCTTGGAAGACTTATGGCATGCCTTTTGGGCAAAGCTTTATATTTTAAATCTGTGTCCTCTTGTAAAGCTGTCTGCTTTCCACCATATCGGATTTCTGCTGCTTTTCAGGCACCTCTGTAAGGGAGGGCTACTATGTCACTTCAGTGTCAGTGCTGTGGTTCTGTGCTGTTTGGGAACCGGGAGACTTCCTTCTGTGCTTGCAGAAGTGAAAAATGGAATTCAGCAACTGAAACTGCCTTTGCTGCTAGTCATCAGTTTTACTTCCTTCCTAGGAAAAACAGATTTGGCAAAAATAAACAAATAAATGAAGGGATTTCAAATGGATGTTCTTCATCAGATGGTTCCTTCGCCTTATTTCTGCTCCAGCTCTCTCTGCTCTGATGGAAAGTGGGTCAGGAGGATTGGTGCTAGCAGCCGCAGGCAGGCATGGCAGCTGTGTGCGTGACCCCAACCTCTCTCATGTTGATCTCTCTAAAGGATGGTTTCAGGAACCAGCTTCTGACATTAGGAATTGGTTGTGCAGAATTGCAGAATAGAGGAATAAAAACCATTTTACCGTTTTTACTCTGCTCTTGGGAATAGGGACTTTTGGAAGGCAGTGGAGTGGCCATCATAGGGCTGTATCTTGGACAGAGGTGTCCAGCTGAGAAATCAGCCTTTGTCCAAACTTTCTTCTCCAGTGGAAAGATGGTAATGCCCTTTCCACCTTGCTAGTTTATTTCCACCATAGAGGGCATGTAGGGGGTAGGCTAGGAGGCATATGGCAATGTTTCTCTTCCACGGGTAAAGTAGAATTAAGGTCCTTATGTGATCCCAGCATAATTAAGCTAGGGCTCCAGCTTGCCCTGGAGTAGATCAGGGAGCTACAAAGCAGGCTCTCTGGCAAGCTTCCCTGCTGCTTTCCTGCAGCACAGCTGGGCACAGCACAGAGAAGTCACTTTGATGTTCACTGCTGGCCAAATGGATGTGGCTGTCTTAAAAAAATACACATCACATGTGGAGTTTCTGACCCACCTGCAGGTTCTGATTCTGCAACAGCTAATGGCTTTTGATTTTGCAGTCCAGAGATTGGGAGTTGGGAAGGAAGTGAGAGTTTTTGAACAGAGCCTAATTGTGGCATTACTTGAAGTCAATATGCTTTGATCAATAGCCCAAAAAATTCATTCTTGATTTTTTTTGTGAACCACGGGCCAGGCATCAAATTGAGGTAGTTGGGTTGTATCATCCTGCACAACTTGATGCTGTTGTCTCTCTCAGTACCTGTGCTGTTTCTTGCAAGAGGGGTCACTACAGGCAATGTATTTGGCACTTACTTGGGCTAAGATCTGTTAGTACAGGTAGCCTGGAACAAGCGACTCCTTACCTGGATCACAGTAGTTTGGCTCAAGGGACCACAGTCTAGGCAGAGTCCACTTGTGGCATGACTGGTTGAGTATCCTGCCCTGCCCTCTTATATGCCTAGATTTTACTAATTGCCATTTAATGGCTCAGTTGATCTGTAGACATAAGTCATCCCAGAGAGAGCTCCAGTGGGGAGAGATGGAGCAGCTGGCGGAAGCAGCCCCAAAGTAAGCTAATGAATTATAAATAACAGCTGTCAGGTCCCACTGCCAGCGTGCGGGGGTGGAGAGGCTGCAGCAGCCCGCACGTTCTCCTGTAATGCCGACTCGGTGGAGAGGGCATGCAGTATTCATAGGGAACATAGCAAAATCAGAATGGCATCGAGCTCATTTGTGCTTCTCCTTCCTTTGGAGCCTGTGGTTTGGGGTAATTGAAAACCCAGTGATTTGCCTCCATCATAATTTTTTGTAACATGCAGATTAAAGAGCAGTCTACAAAATATTCTCACCAAGGGAATTTGGCAAAACTAATGCTGGAGAGGGCCCAACATCCACAAGCAGGTGAAGGAGGAGTGTGGCAGGATGGGAGTCTCTCATAAATAGGCATTTCCATAAATCATCCTCTCTACAGCCTAATGGAGCATGGCTTAATGATGAGAAGGCTGCATAGTTAGCACATGAAGCCTTCCTCTTTGCCATCACCGGTTTCAGTATTTAAAGCAGGGGTTGTCAACTGGAGATGCACATACCCCCAGGGGTACTTGAGAAGGCCCTAGAGGGTACGCAGGGATGGAGCGTTGCCATGCACCATCCCACCCAGGCACTACCTGCCTAGCTGAGCACAGGGGGTAGGGGAAGGTCACACGCGGCAGCTGCTGCCACTCTGCATTTGGCCGCCTGCCACCCCCACCCCCTCCCTGCTCCGCATCCGGCCACAGGGGCTACACTGCTCTGTGACCAGCCCCCAGGGGTACACTGACCCAAAAAGGTTGAAAAGCCCCACAATTTAAAGGGTTGATGTGCTTACCTTGTGAAGCCTCAGGAGGAGGAAGGGGCCGTCTTTACACACCTGTGGCAAGAGTCTTTGACTTAACTGTTCACTAGCTGCCAGGAGTGTCAGTCATATATGTGGCTTTATAAATAAATAGTTTGGGGGGGAGGGGGGGGGTAATAAGACATTGCGTTGTCAGAGTTCTTGGGAACGTGTGAGGTGCTGAGAGGCAGTGCAGTGATAAGGGAGGCAGGGACTCTGTGGATGGGTGAGATGTTTCCAGTCCCTTCGTAGTCCCTCAGTTTTAAGCCCTGTGAACTAAGCTTGTAGTGGACTCCATTGACTTAGTGCAAGAATCCCCCTTTTGAAGAAGCAAGGAGGGAGATTTGGGTTCATCTAAAAGCTGGGTTTTAATTAGAAGTGTGCAAGTACTGGCAGGGGGTATTGATTTGTCTTGAATGCACTCCAGAGACCCTCCAACCTGTTCCATTCAGCAGCTCCACCTTGTCCTCCAGCTCTTTCCCAGCTGTTGTTTACAGTGAAGGTGATGCTGCTTACCCCTGCACTGGTACTGGATCGGTTTGGGGCATCCGTTTTTCCAGGTGTTATGATTCTTCTGAATTGGGAGGGGGTTCTTCTCTTGCTGTTCCTCCAAGTTCTGTTCAAATCCCAGCTGCTCCTTTTGAGAGCAGCAGAGCAAGCCCATGTTGCAAAGGCATTCTCTTCCTGCTCTCTGGGGTGCACGAACTGGTACATTTGGGGAGCTGTGCATAGAGCAGATGTTATGTAAGCATCAGTGCACATACTTTCTTCAGTCTTGTCTGGCGGCTTGATCTCTGCAGTTGCATCTAGGATGCTCAGCAGCAGGGAAGACCATGTGCCTTCGAGTATTATGCTGGATGGCAAACTAGCATTGGTTGCTCTGTGTTGATGGTTCACTTCACTGTGTCGGTGGGAAAACCGTAATTAATTTTTACTGGTGGGGTGGGGAGGGTACTGCAATAGCCTCAGATTTTAGTAGTGCCTGCCTTTTTTTCAGAAAGTAACTGGCTCCCTGTTCTCTGCATCTTTCAAGCTGCATGGAGAGGGAAGAAAGCATTCAGTCCACACACCTTGTCTTGTCACCCCGAGGACTGCTACTTGTGCTTCTTAAGGACTGTCTTCCCCTGCTTCAAGTGTTAGAAGGCTCGACCATGTTCTGATTTGTTGTTCTTTGTCTCAATAGATACCCTGCGCTATTATATTGCCTGTAGTGCTGGATACCCAAATCCCTTCCAGCAGGTGAGTATCATCAAGCTGCACATCAGTGGGGCTAGTGATTACACGCAGTCTTGGAGCAAGCTACGTGAGTGAGCTTAGCTTAAACTTTAGGGCATGGTCTGCCTGAGATTTCCTCCTGCTTTGGTGGAAGGAGAGATCCAAAGAGAAGGAATATTGGTACGAGTGACATCAAGTCAGGGCACATGGCGCTCCTCCAGGACATCGGTCCCTGCAGTTCCAGGCACATAAGGCTGTCCACATTTCTGAAGCAAAAGATGATCAGGACCATTGTTGGCTCCTGTCAGTTACTTGACATTTGTCCTTGGAGCAGAGACATTTCTCTCCGTGTTTGGGCCACGCAACGGTTCGAGTTACTGCCGCCTCCCTGTAGCTGATACAGTATTCACAGGTAGTGTAGGGTTGCTGTGTGTAGCATTCCAGTCCTGCATTTGAGCCACTGATGAGGATTACATGGAACAATACCCCTACAGAAGTGGCCATGGCCCTGCGGCACAGATGTAAAGCACGCTATTGCATTCTCGTTCCTTCTTAGCACAGCCTATAGGCATGTCCCCACAAGCATGCAGATGAGGTCTGCAGCGCTGAAAACCTGTCTTCAGCTCCATGTGCCCCGTGTTCTCCATGCTGCTAATTTGCAGTGCAGTAGCTTTTTTTGAACACCGGGAGATCCTGGTGTCAAAAAAGCAGGGCAGCGTGCCTGACTAGCATGTGTTGGCTGACCAGAGCCATGCTCCAGCTTCCAGCAAGGCTCCACGTACCTGGACCAGTGCCACTGCAGCCCTGGGAGAACCCCAGGCAAGGCTGGTGGGGCTAGCCCAGGTGCTGCCCTTAGCCTTCCCTGCCCCACCTGGGGCAGTTTGCTGCATGCCTGCTGGGGTGTGCCCAGGGACAACTAGCCATGGTACGTGCTGCTGCTAGATGTCCCTGGGGAAACTAATATTGCTGCTTGTGGGGACATGCCCTATGAGTGCAGCAGAGTCCTCACTCAGATTCTAACATGTATCCCAGGAACAGAATGAATTGGTTCCAGCTGCTTCTCAGCTCTCTCCCTACACTTCTGCAGAAATTTTCATTGTGTTTGAAATAAGATGTTTCTGGCTGGCCTTTCTCCAAAGAGAGCCTTCCGGACATGATGCGGTGCTGCTGTCAGTCGCACTCATAATTGCTCTGTGTAACGGTGTCTAGCATGCGGCTGAGTGAACTTCCCTGACATCTCCTAGCGGGGTGTCTTTGCTGCATGTGAATAAAAATGGAAGAGATATTGGCATTAACTACTTCACTACCGACTGCTTCAGTAGAAACATCTCAGCAGTGCTCTTTATTTGTGGTAAAAGAGCTGTTGGAATTGGACAAGGAAGTTTTGGGTCAAGTCCCTAGAGCTGTAATTTCTTCTTAACCAGTGGTTTTCAACCTGAGTACTGTGAAATGTCCCTGGGTGGACAGAGGTAGCTATGAGGTCTGGGGTAGAGACAGACTGGTTCCTCACCTGTATCCATCCTTCCCCCAACACACACGCACTCTCCACCCTCCAAAGCACTCTTACAACACAAGGTAGTCTTACCTTGAGGAGCCAAGCTGTTTTGTATGTGCTGCCACTCTATCAGGGAGTAGTAGAGCTGGTTTAGCATAACACGGTAGATGGGCTAATGAGGTCTGCTGAGCTGCTCCCTGTGTTGAGATGAGGGCACGCAGTGCTAGCTCAGGGGTCTGCAGCAGGCCTGACAAGAAGACGGTGAGGAAGACGCATTGCAGGTCCATGCAGGAGGCTGGATGGGAGACAAGTCCCAGGATTAAAAGGATTGGATAAACAGCAATGTAGCCAATGTCTGAATATGTCTGAGCAAGATTTAACTTGACAGCCGCTCTTCTCCCCTGCCCCCCTCTTCCGCCTCAGGAGCTTTTGTACATAGGTTGGCTTTGCCCCTCAGGACTGAAATGTTCATGTTTATGTTGAGCAGAAGCTGTCGGGAAGTCATAAGGCCCTGGTGGAAATGCAGGATGACGTGCTGGAACTCATGAGGTCAACCAGCAGAGAATACCCTACCTCCAAGGTAAGCTCTGTGAGCATGCCCTTCCCACCTCCATGGCCTCAGAAATCCTTTCCCTTAGATCTGTTCTTTCCCCAAAAAAAAAAAAAAATCCTTTCTTTCAAATAATCTCCAGCTTGTTGCTTACAGGAGTATCTCATCCGCATCCAGGAGGTCCTAAATGCCACAGAGATCAATTTGCAGCACCTGACTGCACTGGTTGATTGTCGCAGTCTGCATCTGGTGAGTACAGCAGGGCAGTGCCTGCAGCTGAGAAGTTGTGGCTGCTTAGATGCAGACCCATGGTGCTGAGCTCTCTGAAGGCAAGGGTGGAAGGACCTCACGAGTACCAGAGATGCTTGGCTGCTTTGCTCCTAGAGAGGACTGAGTAGTAGTGTTAGGCCGGGCAGATTAGGTCAATTCAGGCCAGTTGGTTTCTTTAAAGAAACCGTGAGCCTCACAAAACCGTATTTTAACAGCTTTTCAAGCTATGCTTTTAATTTTGTTAGTCGGTAAACTGCTGTGGAGGGTCAGAATCCAGGGTCAGTGAAAGCTGACTTGCAGAAAAGGCAGTGTTTCTTTCTATGGTGAATACACAGCTCTGACTGGCTTCTTTCCCCAGGATTATGTCCAGGCTCTGACAGGCTTCTGCTACGATGGAGTGGAGGGGCTCATCTACCTGGTTCTCTTCTCCTTTGTCACTGCTCTCATGTTCAGTTCCATTGTGTGCAGTGTCCCGCACACGTGGCAACAGAAGAGGTATGTGTGAGAATTGGATGCAGTCGGCTCACACACTGTTGTGTTCTTGGGCAATTTGCTCCTGCAGACTGGTCATTGGGTTTGTCCATTAGCATCTGGAATTCTTCACCATGTACTCTTGAGAATGGATTGACAAACCCCTAGGTCTAGTGGGAGAAGAAACCATCAACCTAGGTCCAGTGGGAGAAGAAACCATCAATTTCTAACCAAGACCAAGGAATTCAGAATGTCTCATCTCCAAAAGGTTTATTGCTGCGTACTTGTTTGGTGCCCAGTAAGATTTTTGTTCTCCTGAGTTAGATCTTAATAAGCTAACTCGAGAGAAGAGTACTCCTTGTCCTGTATAACTATCATGTTTTAAAAGTGCCTATTCCGTTGTATTGCTTTTAAGGTTTTTATAAGTGGACGGGAGATGGGGTGAGGTCCTTGAAGGGTTTAGGATCGTATCCTGCTTGCCTTATTCTATTCTTTAAGTCTCAGACTTGCCTAGCTCACTTCAGCTATGTGATTATGGCCAAATTTAAAAAGCGACTCCCCACTTTACAGCAGCACTGGAATGAAGATTTGCATTTATTTCCAGCAGATATTTGATGGTTGTAAGCTAATCTGGCCAATTTGTCTTGCCCTAGCCTGGCAGTTTGTTGTGGGGCCAGTTGTTACATGAGTGCTCCTTCTTGCTTTTCATTTATCTGTTGAAAAGTGGACTGTGTTCCTCTGCAAAACATTCTTTTTAGCTAAGCGTAACGTTTTCAGTGACTAAGAATAGTCCAGGCATCAAAATGTGGTATGGAATCTTCTGGGGAAATAAGGGGCGGGGGGGGCTTCTTTACCGGAGAGGCTGCTGGGAATGCATCACCTGCAGCCGTAGGGAGGTCTGCATAGTCTACTGGGGCTCTGCACCTGTGGCAGGGCATGGTTTCTCTTGCAGGTAAAATCTGGTGTCAGTAGCTTTCAGTTCCTTTCCTAAAATGTTGCTGCCCCCATGTGGTGCAAATGATTTCGTTGGAGGATGCTTACTAAACTATTTGGCCCACCTCCCTGCCAGTGCAGCGTTTTGATGTGCTGTGTGCAGCGGTGTGCCATGCAGTGGTGATACATCGTGTTCTTAGGGAAGCAGAATAAGTTGGAGTGAGCAGCAGAGGGATATCATGGTGACTAAACTTCAGAGCACAGCAGCACTGTATTACTCCTCTCTGACACCTAAGCTGAAGGATGTTGCTGGGGGTTTTTTGTTTTTGTTTTTTGTTGTTGGGGTTTTTTTTTGAGTGTTGTCCAGTAGACTTGTGCAAAGCAGCTAGTATTCGTTTTGGATTTGACCGATTTCAGGGGACAGTGATTCGAATCAGTGTTTTGAATCACTGTCCTGAATTGATTTGGCTGAATCTGATTTGGAGATTTGGCTACCGCCGAGTCTGACAGATCATCCCCATCCCCTGCCTGGCCCCAGCTCCTGGATCTTTTTTTCTTAATTTTATTTAAGCCTGGCACTCACCAGCTCCTGCCAGGCAGGGGGCGATACCCACTGCCCCACACTGCATGGGGGGCTCTGCCACGAGCCCCCAGAAGCCCCGATGGTTGCTGCAGTGGCTGGTGAGTGCAAGGCTTTTTCTTTTTTCCTTTTTTTTTTTTAAAGAACGGGGAGCTGTGGCAGGGTGGGTAGCCATTCATGGGGTTGGGGGGGAGCTGGGAGCGGGCAGGGGATAGGGGTGGGAGAGCGGGCGGGAGATGGGGGGTACTCAGGGGGGATGGGGGAGTAGGCAGGGGATGGGGCCTAGCAGGGGTCCTCCCCATGGTCCCCTCCCCTGCCCCCTATTTACCAACATGGAGTCCGGGTCCAGCTCCCTGCGACAGCAAGCGGGCACTGTCCAAATCTCCGAAGCTGTGCAAATCTTTTCTGAATCGATTTGGAAAGCTTCAAATAGATTCTGACCTTTTGATTGGTCTCCTGATTCAATTTGAAGATCTGTCTGCTTTCTCTGAATCGAATCAGCACCTGAAGCTTTGCACAGCCCTACTGTCCAGTGCATGCAGTGGATGGGAGAATACTGTATCTAGTTTTCCAGGCTGAAGGGCAGATTCCCTCTATGCTTGAAAACATTGACAAGCTTAAATGGAAAGTCAATGTGCTCGTTCAGTTGGTGCTTCATGGAGTGCCTGGACTTGAATAGTTTCTGCTGAGTATTTTAAGTTTGGAAATCTTTCCAAAAGCCAATCTGGTTGTAATTTATTGTCAACAAAATCTCCATTTCCAGCAGCATGACTTGATTTCTGTCATTATTGGAAGGTTGTTCCAATAACAGTATCTGCCATAAGATCTATGAACAGTAGCATCCAGTTCAGCTCTTCTGCACTGCCTCCTGTGCTATGCTTAAGGTGAATTTTGGAATTCAGCATGGTCAGTCCTCAGTCCCCTGTGCCTCTCAGACATTATGGCTGGAAGCTAGCAACAGTAAGGTACTCCATGTGGTTAAGAATGTGGTAGTCCTGTTTGGTATCTCATGTGTTAATCCGTTGCAGAGTCTTTACTCCAGCACAACCTCGCAGGCACCCGTTACACTCTCCCAGCTGTTAGCTCACTACTGTGGGATAATATAATGGACTCATGCTCAAGAAGGGAAGGGGTAGAAGCTCACCTTGGAGAAAGCAGCTACCATAGTTTCTCTGGGGTTGGAGAGGAGAGTTCTGAAGATGGCAAGTGTTTCAAGACATTACTGGACTGTCTTGTCCCACCCACTTGCTGACCTGATGCATGATGTTGCTTGTCATTTTGCCAATGCCTGCTCTGCCTGACAGTCAGCTGACAGCTTGTGTCGCTGTTAGAAGTGATTCTGTAAAACCAGCACTGGGAGGTTCTCTGTTGCCCTATGTTAAACCTTTTAGCAATATTTCTTTCCTTCTGTTTTAACTGGCAACCCTGTAAACTCACCTTAGGATCTAAGCATTCATCTGTTTTCTCTTGTATATCCCAACTAGTCCTAAAGGCAGCTCCCATCAGTGTGTTTTCATGGATGGAACAGAGATTGGCTGTGTAACTGGAACAATGTTGTTGATGCCTATGAAGGAATAGAATTGGCTGGTCTCATATCTAATGGAATAGTTCCACGGAGCTCATCAGAAAAACATATGTTTACTAAGTCAGTAAGATTCAGTTGCAGCGCCCAAGAGGCAGAGCTGTCAAATTAGATGACTCCATTGATATATGGCATATTTTGGGACGAGCATGGGCAAAGCCTACTGTGAAGAACTAGCTCTAGTCAGTACACAAGGTTCATGTTTCTGTAGAACAGACCCGCCCTGGAATAAATGGTAAGATTACTTTTGTAACCCCAATGGCATGGGCATAAACCTACCATTGTGCAAATGCATGCATAAATTCAGCTTTTCAAAGTAGCAAGAGCTTTGTTTTTAGGATGGAAAGAACAGCCTCCAGGCACAGATGCTATTGACACCAGTAACTAAAGTGTTCAGTGTACACACATGCATACACGTGTGTACGCATACACATAGAAACTGGAGAAGCATGCTTATGATCTTGCCATATGTAACGTGGGAAAACCTTGGGAAGCCAGTGCAACAAATGGAATTTAGTGGAAACTGAAGCCAAGTGAGGCTTCAACTGGTGGGAGAAGACTATGAAAGGCCCATACTGTAACATGCCTCCTTTAACCAGATGCTTTTTTGGATACGTCCACACTTCAGTTGCATGGGTGAGGGGCTTGCGTAGTTGCCTGGTCTGCCAGGCCCTGGGGGAAGGATTTGGGATGTTGTTAAGAGATGTCACTGTTTTGAGAGAGTCCAGATGGTGACTGTGGGAGGTCTGAGTCATTCTGGTGGCGGGGGAAGAGAGGTTTTGTGGGTTGTACTCCATGCTGCCATATTGAGACTTGCTGAATGGTTCTCAGCGAGGAGGTGTGAAGGATAGTTGGGTTAGTCGGATAACCACGTACTTTGGTTTTTGCAGACCCTGCTAATGTCATGATTTTGAGGATAACTTTCTTCCCTTCCTGCAGGAGTTCGGATGATGACGGGGAGGAAGAGTCTGCTGCTCAAGGGAATAGACAAACCCATGATAATCTGTACAGGGTGCATATGCCCAGCCTCTACAGCTGTGGGAGTAGTTATGGCAGCGAGACCAGCATCCCAGCAGCGGCTCACACAGTCAGCAATGCTCCTGTCACAGAGTACATGTGAGTAACCACAACGGGCAGCCAATTCTATCCAGACTGCCTTGATTCAGCTTAGTGGTGGGTGCCCACTGAGCAGAGGGAGCTGAGAAGGGCTTCAAGACCAGCTCTGCCTTGAATTGGAGAAGCTTGTTAATAGCGGCCCTAACTGAGACAAAAAATGATAAAAGGCTTGCAACCATTGCTCTTAGTGGAAGAAAATATGCTTTTACTTAGTGTGGGAATGCTTGCTAATGCTGCAGTAGAAATATTGTAGTAGGTAGGTTACCTGAAAACACTTGCTGCCTGATGTTATAGGTGTTGAATGCTATCTTCCTAGGGAAAGGTTGGAGAGGGGTGTCACTTGGCTTCCATTGTATAATAAGTCTCATGTCTCTAAATACCCCATTAATCAAATGCAACTGTTCTGCTAGAGTTTTTTATGCTTCCCACGTGGTTGGAAGCCACAGAATCACAGGTTCAGCCTTTGCCTGGAAGGCAACTCTGCTGTCTTCGCAGTCTGGATTCAACCAGTTCAGGGCTTTCATTTAGTAGACACCCCTTCCACAGAGCTTCGCACTTTAACCACCCGCATGGCCTGTTTGTCTTGGATTGCTTAATCTTTTTGCTTGCCCTCCTCACCAATGCATTCTCCTTTAATTTGGTTCCACTTTTTTGGTTTGGGGGCAGGGAACCGGAGTTCAGATGCAGCACTCCACATGCATTTTCTTTTACAGTGGTTCCAAGGGATGGGTGGATTCCCCTCGTGGCGTGCCAGTGATCGGGACATGTAGGAAAAGTATTACAGGAGTTGGATTTATGGTGGTATTTGCAGGAAGTAGCTGTGCCCTCAGTCCTAGACTCTCTGTCTCTCTCTGCCAGATCCAAAGTCCCCATACAGAGGAGGGGGCCATGTGCATCTGTCACAATCTATGTTTCCCTTCCATAGGAGCCAGAATGCAAACTTCCAGAACCCCCGTTGTGAGAACACCCCTCTGATTGGCCGGGAGTCCCCACCTCCCTCAGTAAGTTTGTCTTTACTGCTTCTCTCTGCTTCAGCATCCAAGGTCAACTTCTGCTTTGGGGATGCACATGTGCCACTCTTGTAATACCTTCAGGGGGTGCTTATTGTGCAGCTCAAGGCAGGATCTGGCCCGTACATGGTAGAAAGCTATGTAGACAAGTCGTGTCTAAGCTGCCATGGAGAATCAAAGCACAGTGTGCTGTTGTGGGTCACATATATGTATGAGCAAGATCAAACTCGCTCTACAAAGTCACATAACACTCTGGTCCCTGTGCAGTGAACACTGAAGTGCATGAGTCGCGTTTTGGGTGACTTCAGTGCCATTCTTCACATGCATGCTGTTACTCACTTTGCAGCATTGGTCCCTAAAGGCTCGGAAAGAAGTTGTAAACTCAGAGTGAATGCTGAAACTCTCTCCTTAATCTGCCCTGTGAAGACGAGAAGAAACTTCCTATTATTTTTAGTTTTATCCTTTGTTTTGCAGCATTTGTGGAGGTTGTTTTAGAATTTCTATTCCTGTATTTAATTTCCTGAGGAGAAAAAAAAACCTTTCATGGAAGGTTCTTTGGGAGCTTGGAGTGGTTTGGTAGCAGTTTCAGTCTGTTGGGTAAAATGCAGAGCTTTTATTTATGCCTTTGTAAAAGGTAGCTGAATCTGGTCCTCATTTTGCTGGATCCTGTGACTCTCTTCAGCACCATAACCACCTGGGGAATGGGCCATCACACTGCCAGCTACTAACCTGCTAACAGTTACCAAGGATGCCAAGCAGCACGCTTTCATGCTGAACCAGGCAGGCTTATTACAGTTACTGTACTCACTATTGGGCCCAATTCAGGTTAACTAAGGGGGGCCATGGGGTACTTCATGCTCTTATTTACATGCAGTCAGAAGCTCTTCTAACTTCAGCAGTGGCAAAATGGATAGGCAGCCCTTGTCTCATGCTGGCTGGGGTTTTTGGAACTTGCTTAAAATTGGAAAAGAAAAATTCGGGCCCCTGGTGTTCTGCACTTGAGCTCAGGAAGTGTTCTCGGCTCTCGGCAGTGGGGCTGGCTTCAGAGGAAGTGTTGGTGCAGCCTACAGCACAGTGCCACCAACCACTGCTTTACCACCGGTATCTTGTGTTGCAGTCAACTCCTTTAAATGCTGCACAGACCTGTTTTGGTTGCTTCCTCTGGGGCAGAGCCCTGCTGAAGATCACTTCCCATCCCCAGAGCATTTCTGCCTCAGAAAAGAGGCTTCTTTCTGCAGGGACTTTAGCTTTGGTGAGAGGATTCCCTGGTGCTTCAGTAGCTGGTTGCTTTAATGACCTCAAGGGAGGATCCTAAGTCTTGATGCCTTCAGCTGATTTCTGAGAAGAAATGCTGGTAAGGGCTTTTTCAAAGGAATTTCACTTGAGAACCAAGTGGGAAGGGGTCTGGGGAGCAGTACATCCTGGTGGAAGGGACGAGGTAGGGAGGGGACACCTAATCCCCTGTCCGGACTGTGGAGATGACTATCCAAAAGGTGTAAGGATTGGGGTATAGCAGCAGGTTTACCTTCCAAATAGATGAAAAAACTGACCCAAGCTGTTTAAGTCGAGGGAGGAGAAACGCGTCCCTTCTTACCTGCCACCCAGGCAAGTAGTGGGATAGAGAGGACCCTGTGGGATGTGTCAAACGTCCATGCTAAGTGGCCGAGGCCATGGTGTGAATGGAAGAAAAAGCTGATGGCACGCAAATCGGCCAACAACCCTGCAGTACGGACACTTCCCCTTTTGGGTGTCATGGCCATGAATGGAACCACCCAAGCAGAGTCAAGGACATGAGACAGGCCAGATGTATCCTGTGCGGCTCAGCTCGTGGGAACTGACTGAGAACCAGGCCGTAAGGATCCGACTGCATTGTTTGTCCTTTTTTTCTTTTCTCCCTGTCATTCCTTCTGTCGTCTCCTTCTTACCCCAGGGCCGTTCCTGTAGGGGGATAGAGCCCTCATTGTCACTGGCACACATCACAGCGTTTCACTTGCTTGCACTGTGTTTTTCATGCACGTTGAGGCTGCACTCTCTTTTTCTCTCTCTCTCCTGCGTCATCACAGTTGTATTTGGCTGCCATGGACAGTAGCAGCCATATGAGCTGGCAGTTTAAGCCCTCGGACAGTGCACGGACGTACTGGTAACAGCGCCCACAAATGGAACAGGTACTGAAATAAGGTCCTTCTCGCTCAATCCCTTCTCCACTCCCACCTATCCCTCTCATCCCTGCACTACTTACCCTAGGCCAGTGCCTTATTTCTTCACGTTCCCTCCCCCTGCACCTTCCACCCCATCCCTTCCTGCCAAGAGTTAAGCTAAGCAGGCCTGCCCTGGTGCTGACTTGGTGGGTAGCTTCAACACTTCCCCTTGGCACTCGTCCCCGTGCATTGCAGCGGCCAGAGATCCCACGCGAGTCCACATCGCTGCGTTCGAGAACAGGCTGAACACCCGGCCCCAGCAGTCCCAGGAAGCAAATCTGTTCCAGTTCCTCATTGCAAGAATCCAATTTGAACAGTAACAAGACTTGGCACATGAGCCTTTTAATAAGGACTGGCTGTTTGTTTCCACCTTGGTCTCCTTTCTGCTCTGACTGCCGCTCGTTTTCTCACCAATGTGATGACCCACGCTAGAGACCAAGGATATACCTATTTTGCCATCTGTTTTAAGTTCCTCCACAGTCTTAACAACATAGTTGTCCTTGGATAGCTGGCTTAAATGGGCTGTCACATGGCTTATCGGAACCAGCAGCCCTCTCGGAGCTTAGCTGTTCAGCTGCCCATTTTATCCTAGAGTTCAAGGTGTGGAATAAGCAAGTTTTTTTTAAAAGCAATTCCCCCAGGTGTCCAGGCACGTGTTAACATCCTTGATTCTACGTAGCTCTGTTGTAACACTTCCTTGTGCCAAAAGTATTCCATTAATTTCCTGCATATGCTGGATGGAGCACTTGAGTCCTTTCCTGGCATCAGTCCGTAGTTAACAGGAGGTGGTTAAGACCCATCTCCAGTATGACAGAACCCCTCATTTCTTCTCTCAGCTCAAGGGCCATTTACCATAGGAAGGGAGGAGTTGTCTGAACCGCATTTTGCAGTTGCAGTTTATGAACTGCCTGTGGTGTATCATCTGAATTCCTGGGCAGCACACTGGCTGAGATCAGCACAGAGATCTTTGCAAAGAAAGTGGTAATCGCAGCCTAACTGGAACACGTTAGCTCCAGCTGGAATGCAGAACCGTCTCCAGTCGGGTGCTGCAGCCAGTTTGCACTCTGCTCCCAGCCAAACTTGTACATACAGCTGCTGCTCCTCTGCATCTGCCATTCCTCCAGGGGCTCGTACACTTTTACCTTGCACTGGTGACCATTCTCTCATGTCACTGCTTGGTCTGCATTCTTGCTGCCTCTCACCATTTGTCTGCTCTGCTTTATGGGGTGCTTGGGGGTTTCTGAGACACTGGCTGATGTGTGGGATCAGGGGTGGGGAGTTGCTTTGATGCACTCTGTCACTGTGCATGACATGAACAGGTCTGTGTGCAGACTTAATGCATGCTGCTCGTGCTGTCCAGAATGTCACCGCTTCCTTCACTCTGTTCTAACAGTCTTGCAGAGACCTTTCTTGGGCGTCAGGTCCTGGTGCTTGTGTGCTTCCTTATTCCCACAGGTATTACATTGGTGCTTTAGCAACGCTGTTTAAGGATCCGTCAACACCTCTTTATTCTCACCTTTTGTTTTTTCCAGGGAGTTGATTCTGGGTTTAAAATGTTTACTAGGCTTAGACTTGACCCAAGGATCAAGCCTTTACCAGGATTAGGCTCAGAGTCACATGGCTCACTGCAATAGTAACAAAAAAACCCCATGCTTCTCTTAAACTCTGCTTATAACTTGGTAGCCCTCCTGGAAACTAGAACCCTTGTGTTATTCCAGGATCCACTGGTTACATCTGACTACCTCTCCCCCCCAACACTCCCCATGAAAAGACCTGCATATTAAACTGTAGTTCAGGGGTCAGCAACATTTTTGGGCGATGCCACAAACTCCCCAACTCAATTTGGAATATGTTGGTGTCAGGGGCAGGTGGTGGGGGATCGGCAAGGGGCCCAGTTCTTGTTGTGGCAGTGCAACCTAGGCCCCCTCCCCACTATCTGTGCACAGGCATGCGTGCAACTGTCTCCAGCAGAGAGCCAGGCCAGGCTCTGTGGCCCCAGTGCAGCTGCCTGCAGGTTTCCTGTTGCCTGCTCTGAGCAGCCCAGGCTCCATGGCGCGTGGCAGGGGTCTGCTCCAAGCCTAGACTGGCTGTGGCAGGCAGCTGGGATATGGCAAGCAGCTGCACCAGCGTCCGCAGAGCCCAGCTTGTTGCCAGCAGCGGATGCATGCACGCCTCGGGGTGAATGGTGGGGAAGGAGCCAGGGACTGCTCTGCCACAACAAGGATTGTGCCCTTCACTGCTCCTCTGCCATCTGCCACTGGTAATGAGCTGCACCGGGGCTCCGTAGACCCCAGTGCAGCTGTTTGTAGTCTCCCAGCTGCCTGCCACAGCTGACCCGAGCTCTGGGCAGGCTCTTGGTTCCTCGCACAT